GCGCTTTTTCCGTGGTGACGTCGTCATTGCAAATGAATGGTGAACTTCTGGCTGTGGGCCATTTTACCTGTCCGTGACCGCACCTTCGCCCGGTGTGACACATTTTCCATGGGCCGGTCTGCCGTATGTTACTGGTGTCTTGGGCGTTGCACTCTCACTTTCGGGAGGTGGTAGTGGGTGGGGGAAAGGGGCGGGGTACTCGACGACGTGATTACGTCACCAGAACACGCGGTTACATAACGGGCCCGGTGTAAGCGGTGGATAAGAATAACACAGCACTGGTAGCAGTGTAACTACACCCACGGAGCAGTTTTGAATGCGGCACGTGGTTGTGTTGCTGGCTCACGCGTGGCCACATCACTTTCAGCACGTGTGCTACGTGGTTTCCTGTCGCGTGCTCGTGCCCTTGTTACACGTGTGCCACGTAACGCACGGTCACGTGTCGCCACGTGACTGTGAGGTCCTTCTACCGACAGCTGTCGGTTTCGGAACGGCTTATGACTGTTCGTTGCGATTTAATGCCAGCCGCGCATCTGTGACTGGTTTTTGTCAAGCCCGGACCATCGACCGCAATTTCGAGGCTTTTGAGCTTCGGGTGATAGTTCCGGCTTATTTTAGGTTTTTTTCTGTGGTTTAACCCATTTGTTTTAACATTCTGGTCTGTACCCCAAAATTCATCCAGTGGGGTGTACAGGATGTCAATATAGTGCACGCTGCCCGAATCCTGCCTCTCCGCCAGTACCCTCACGCAGTTCGTCGGCGCGAATCCGTTGCCCTTTGACCCCGACCCAAACATCTGACCTGTCCAGCCCATTTGTCAAGCCTGAGGCGTTTAGATACGGGGTTGACAGCCACCCGGTTTGATGCTGATTGGCCGATTTACGGGAAGGGAAGGTGCAAAAGGCAGTGAACCTCAAGCCGGGGTACAATAGCATGAAAAAATATCGACCTCCCTGTCGCTCAAAGTGGCCGATTCTTGCCACACGGAGTCTGATGGATCGTGTCATGTGGGTTGACACACATTTCGCCCCTCACACTTGTTACCACCCATGGCGTTTTCATGAACTCTTTGGGCACCCACGCGATCATCGATATGACCTTCCTTCGCCTGCGACTGGCCGGCATCACATTTGCGACCACTTTTAAGCGCCCCGTTGTGTTTTTCTTCCGCCATCCGTGCGTCGGCTGGTGGTGGCGTAGCCGTGGTTTGCCTATGGTGGAACAGCACCGATGCCTGCCGGGTCCACAGTCCAGCCGGGGCCGCTACCTGCGCTTCCCTGGCAGCACCAGCGGCTGACCCTTCAGAGTGGCCGTTATGGATGCGGTCGGTATGTGGGCGGCCACATACCGGTATGTGGTGTGGTATGTGGTACATACCGGTATGGCGACGTCCGGCGAAAGACGGATGGCCGTCGCGGCTGTGCGGGCAGCTCGTGCAGGGCGCATTGGTTTTATCGATTCGTGTTCGTTCCATGCGGTTTGGGCGGCGATTCGGGCGGGCCGGGGCGGGGTCATTCTCAGGCGGCATGGTGATTCGTCCTCTCGGTCTCCGGGTGATGTGACGTCACAGGTGATGTGACGTCACAGGTGATGTGACATCACAGGTGGTGGCCCGGCCCGACCCGGACCTGGGGCGATGAGCCCACGGAGCGGGACGTGTCTGTGGATGACTGTATGTTGTAAGGCTGTGCTGGCGTTTGTGGTCAGAGGTCCCGTGACGTCACCACCGAAGTTTATAGTTTTGGTTTTACGTGTCACCCAGGCACGTGCTCAGAATTTTCCTGGGGGTATTAAATTTGTCTAATGTCTAGCGAATTTGGACCGAATTTCTGCGAAACCGCCCAGTTTTTGGTGTAAACCCCTCGGCTTATTGGGGGGGGGGGGGGTGACCCCTGTGCCCCCCTTGGCGACGTCCCTTGTATCATGTCTCCGCTGATCAAGAGTGGAGAGCTGATGCTGCGACCACCGCTGATCGTCCACCACACTTAGTCTGCACCCGTTTCCGTCAAGCCCGCATCCCCCTCAAGGCGCCGCCTGGCACCGCCACTGCGCGAAGCCTGCGTCCCCCTCACAGCGCCGCCTGGCACTGCCACTGCGCGAAGCCCGCCTCCCCCTCACAATGTTGCCTGGCACTGCCACTGCATGGAGCTCGCCTCCCCCACACGGCGCCGCCTGGCACCGCCACTGCGCGGCGAAACCCACCTCCCCTCGCAGCGCCACCTGGCTCCGCCACTGCGCGCGTGACGATCCGAACAGCGATGTCTGAAGCGGTGAATGAATTTGCAAATGCCGAGTCGACGGCCAGAGGGGCAGGCAAAGGCCACAGGTGTCCCTCACAGCAACGGAGCCCATTGTCGGACAGGTCGCGCGGCGGGCGGGCATGACTATGCTTATCCGGCTCTGGCCTCGTGAGGCTCGCCGTCTCTGCGCTGATTGTTGGGCACCTGCGGCGTTGAAGAGGGTTCTTCTGCGCGTGTCATCGTGAAATGCACTCTGGGCTGGGGCGCGTCGGATGGCGATGAGGGAAAAGAAGCCGTACACCGAGAGTTTGAGTCTCTTTCAATTTAAACCGTGTTCGATTGGCGGTGCGTCGATCGGCTTCCATTGGCACGATGCGGGGTTGTTATCATTCGCCGCAAACGATGACGGCGGTGGGACAGTCCGTTCACATTGGTGCGCTGTTTCTGCCCGTGGCCGTTGTGATCCTCACCCATTTGCTGCTCTCCGTGCATAGATCGCATTATGGGAAAAAATATCAGGGGCGGTATCTTGAACTACCGATTTGTTTACTACTGTTGAGTACTGGACGGCTCGCAAAGAATGGAAAAGGGGCTGAAGATGTAATAAAGTTGTAGTTGTGGGAAGCTGAAAATGCAAAGAGTAAGCAATATGGCTGCACTGCATTGTTTAGATGCATGTTGCAGCCGTTTATTTGCCACTATTTGTTTCTATGAAGCACCAGCAGAGCAAAGCATTAATAAGATAGTTTGTGTTAAGGATATTTCATTTTGAGGTCTGCCCTGACAGGGCATTGTGATAACGTGTAAGGAATGTGTTCAACGGAGATGATCACGGAGTGGATCATGCTAGAATGGTGGTGAATAAATATAAAAAGTACCAAAAAAGCACCGACCCAAAAATAGTATTCAAGTAGTGAAAAAGTGAAAAGTACGTCGGTATTTTACGCGATGAAAATATGCGTCGCTTAACAGCCGTGGACGGTATTTTTGTACAGAAAGTCTATGTCCCGCTGCCGCCTTCCTCTCCAGCCGGAGTTGTTTTTCCGGACGGCAACGACGTCCGCGCGGCGGCAGCCCGGACCGCGCGGCCGGCGGCGTCGCTGGCATTCCTGGGCTGCTCTCCGGGGCAATAACGGTCATGTGACCGTCCCGATCGGACGCCGGCAGAAATGGCGCGAGATGAGGCCGGCGCGGATGGCGGGAAATTGGCCGATTACGCGCCATTCCTCCTTCCCCCCCCCCCCCCCCCCGCTGGAGCCGCCGCCAGGAGCAGAGGCTGGCGCCATTGTGGCTCATTATTTTTTTTATTTTACGGGGTATGATGGGACTCTTTCTTCTCGGTTGTGGACTGTTCTCCGTACTGTTCTGTGGACTGTTCTCCGTGTCGTTCTACTGTGCACCGTTGTGTGGGGTCACAGCATTGGTTGTGTTGTTTCAACGATGGTTTGGTGTAAGTGGGGTTATTGGTCTGAACCGATTAGTTTTATTGGCTGTCTATGCATTGGTATTACCAACATTCGATGGAACAGCGTTGTGATCAGAATGCGAGATGAGCAGCGGTTCTTGTTACGACATGCCCCTAATGCCACAGTTTCTTACGGCCCATGCTATGCTTCTGTTTCTTAAAATAAGCAATGTGACATAACGCCTCTGTTGTGTGGGAAAACTACTGTCGTAGATTTTATGTTTGGATAGATGGCTGCAGTTTTATCAACGCTACCCCGACTTTCCGGTAAAAGTTTATATTTGCACGCGGCGCAAATTATTTGATTTTTAAATTGTCAGTACAGACGATGTAGGGGGTGCCGATTGTGCAGTGGTAACGCGTTTGCGTTAACCACTGCGCATCTGGGAAACTAGAGGCACAGGGTTTGATTCCCCGCCCTTCCTTCCAGGGTAAGAGGCAGGCGACGCCGCGTGGCCTCAGCAGCTGAGCGTGTCGTAAAGCCCTGACGATAATGGATGACGTATTCCTCGCTGGGAATGCTCTACCGTAATTTGCTCCACCCATTTGCCCTGATGACTCATCGCCTACCCGGAAGTGGTGCCTACTGCCCCCCCCCCCCCCTCCCTTCCTCGAGCTTGCAACAAACACTTCAGCGTAGTGCTGACCAAGATGCTGACGGCGCTGATCGCGGTCTGGAAAGTAATGCTGATGTTGACGACTTGTCCGCCTGCGCTGCTTTCTCGTTGTGCAGCTGAGTGGTTTGCCTCTGGTCACTTGGTTTCTGGAGAACCGTATAAGGATTTAATTTGTGCTACGTTAGCTTGGTCGGTATGAATATGCTCTTTGCTAATGATGAAAAACAAAGGACGGTACTTAAATTCGTTAAGTATGTTATACTTGGCAACAGCAAGAAGACCGTGAGTTGCTGTTTTTCGACCTTATGAGTTGGTTCCTGTACTGACAGCCGTAGACTTCCAATATTCGCGGAGGCTACGCAATGCCATCGAGTAGACATTAGATGCATTTTAAAAATTTGTGGGCGATTGGGTGGAGCGAATGGTACCAGTAACAATGTGGAATATAATGTGAGGGGAATTGACGTTGACTCGGGGGCGATAGATGACATTCTTGATTCCCGGCACGAAACACAATTAACAAGTGCGTTCGTCATTTTAGAGAAGCGGTGCGACCAGAATACAAGAACGGCAGCATGCTCATGTGGTACCACTTTCTGTAATCTCTCACTTAAGCGGATGAACATCCCCCTTCCGACAGACGCTGGCCTAACCGACCTCGTCGCCTGTCCGTTCCAGAAGGCGACCAATGTCACCTACCAGACGGGCCATGTCTCGCGCAACCACCGAGGTCAGGTCATGGGCGAGCGCGGAGAGTTCCGCGGCTGCACCATCTGGCTGACCGGTGAGTTGGGAGGGGGGGGGGGGTGTAGGTTGCCGAGAGGTGTGGTTGATTGCCTCAGTAGCCGAAGCTCTGGGGCTCGATGCCCGTCGAAGACAAAATTCCTTGTGCCGGTTTTTCTCAGAGTATGGCGACGTAACTGCTTTAAGCCCAACCGGAGGGGCACAAGTCTGTCGTGTTGAGTTGGTAGCGCAGCTGGTTTCTGGGTTTTCTCCTTCAGCGGCTATGTGGAAGAGCGTTGGGATCTTGAGTGTTGATATTTCCATATATATATATATATATATATATATATATATATATATATATGTACATATACGTATAGTACATAGGCGGTCGCAAAGCTGAGCGACAGATCGTTTCGCACACAGCGGCGAGGATGTGGGTGCGAGAGCTGCCGTCAGATATCGAGAAATGCCTCCCCACCACGCGTGAGGGATTACAGCAACAACGTCCTGGGCCGTGTACTATGCCCGAGCTGTGTAAAGCGCTGCACAACAACCCAACCGGAGGGGCACAAGTCTGTCGTGTTGAGTGGGTAGCGCAGCTGGTTTCTGGGTTTTCTCCTTCAGCGGCTATGTGTAAGAGCGTTGGAACCTTGAGTGTTGATTATCTCCGTCAGTCTACACGGCATGTTGGTGTGGATGACTGGTTATTTGTTTCGGCTCCGATGGGGGGGGGGGGTTCGAACCCGGTAAAGTCATGTACATTTGAGCGCTAACATGACCCCTGCAGTTGCCTCCAATCCATGAAGGGGTGTAAGCTGAGTACTGTCTGTGTGATTCCTGTTTTTATGACCCTTGACTGTCCTGGACCCCCTCTGTGCTAGGTCTGTTTGCGAGACCTCTGACAAGACCTATGACCCGAAACCCTTTGTGTCAGGCCTGTTTCCGTGACCCCTGACTGACCCGTACGCCCTCTGTGTGGGGCCTGTTTGTGAGACCACTGACTGACCGGAACCCCCTCTGTGTTACACCTGTTTGTGAGACCCCTGACTGACCTGAACCCCCTTTGTTTCGGACCTGTTTGTGTGCTTCTGGTTGATCTGAACCTTGCCGTGCCAGGCCTGTTTGCGTGACTTCTGACTGACCCGAACCCCTCTGTATCAGGTTTGTTCGTGTGACCCTTAACTGACCCTAACCCCCTCTGTGTCAGGCATGTTCGTATGACCTCTGACTGACCCGAACCCCTCTCGTGTCAGACCTGTTTGTGTGACCCTTGACTGACGCGAACCCCATCTGTGTCGGACCTGTTTGTGTGGGCCCTGACCCGCTATGTCAGGCCTGTTTGCGTGACCCCTGACTGCCCTGAACCCCCTCCGTATCAGACCTGTTTGTGTGACCCCTGACCGACTTAAGCTCCCTGTACGTCAGGCCTGTTTGTGTGACCCCGGTCTGAACCGAGTGCCCTCTTTATCAGGGCTGTCGGGGGCCGGAAAGACAACCATCTCGTTCGCGCTGGAGGCGTTCCTGGTGTCGCACGGCATCCCAGCCTACGGTCTCGACGGAGACAACATTCGGCATGGACTCAACAAGAACCTGGGCTTCTCCGCCGAGGACAGGTGATGCAGCGTGGCGGCCATTTTGTGCCGCGGCGGCCATTTTATTCGTGGCGCCCATTTTATGCCGCGGCGGCCATTTTGAGCGGATGAGCTCCGCCGGGCCGCGTTCCCCATCGGCAAAGTACCTACCTGGGTGACATGGGGTGACGTCACAAGTGCCTACGTTATACGCCAGCTACTATACTCCAAGCCGTAGGAGCTGTTGTGACGCACCGGCCTATGGCGTCATGGGTTGCGACTTGTGGACGGCGTTTGGCAACGGGGAGCGCGGCTCTGGTGTCTGTTGAGCAGTCCTTTTCTTTGGAAGGTGACGATGGGCGCAGCACTTGTGTACGCATGTGCGCTCCAGGTGAAGCTCAGCGCGGTCTCGCTGCGAAGATAGCGACACATTCCGCCGGTGTTCGCATGAATCGCTCCCCAGGTGCTAGGTTTGTCTTTGCCCGTGTCGGCATGGGTACCGTGCGACGACACGGGGACATGACGTACATTTCGTCCACACGCACACGTGGCCACATGGCGTGTGTCGTGTCTGTGCGCGCGCATACGTGTGATGCCCGTCTGGTTCAGGATGGCAGGCCCCGACCTTACGTTAGTGACCCGGCAATGATGTGGCATGCCTTTTTGGCTGAATGTCACCGCTCTGCGCGGAGAACGCAGAGAAGGTCAGCTCGCAGCTGGTGAAAGAGGGGCAGGAGATCTTAGGCTGGCTTCGTTGCCATTGTACGGCGCGGAATCAGTCTCGTCTTGCCTGCGGTCGTCGTCAGTAACTTATGCATTCTACCGGAGGTGGCAAAGTGGCAGGGCACAGCCAAGGGGAGGCCTTGAAAGAGCTCCGTTTCCTCCCCATCCCCCCTTAAGGAAATCCTGTCTGCGCCTCCGCCAGTTGTGGCTATGTGTTGGCCGCACCACTGAGTGATATTCAGTGGTGGCCGTGTCGGTGCGTGTACGACACGCGGCACATGCTCATGATGTGATCCCGGACCCAAAGCACGCGGAAGTGTCTGATTCTGACGTTAAGGAATCGGTCTGACGCCAGGATGTATTTCCCTGTCCAGTTGGAGGGGGGGGGGGGCTCCATCGCTTTCAAAAGCAAGCTAGCATTCGCGGGCAAACCCAAAAGAAACCTTTGGGCGTATCCCGGGCCTAGACTCAGCCACCTTACCCTGTTTAGCCCCGGCCATGGTCGGCCGCGCGTCACGGCTCTTCAGCGGCTAGCCCACCGGCCATCTGTAGAGCGCGCGCTCCGACCCGCCTGCCACACCTGCCCAGGTGCGCCGGCGCGCTGTCTGTGACGCCCTGCAGGCGGCGACCGAGCCGTTCAGGAGCAGGGCTCGCGGTCGGAGGGTCCGGTCTCGGTACCGCCGCCGACAGGAAACCTGTCTGCCCCGGTTTTTTTTTTGTTGTTGATGGGGCGGCAACGCCGGCTGCGAATGTCGGCGAATAACTCAGCGGGGTGTAGTGGCTGGGGCTCGGGGCTGGCAAGGATGCGGTGGCCGGGTTGGAGGGTGGGGAGGGGACCTCCGACGCCGGCATGTGGTGTTTCTGCCACCTGGCGACCGCCGCCCCTGCATAATGTATCTCGGCCCCGCGCGGACACGGCGCTGGCGGGTTCCCCCCCCCGCCCCTGCAACCTTCGCCCAGCCGCGCTCCTAGCCCCGATACCTGCCGACCTTGTGACCCCGCCTCCCCTCCCCCTGTATCGCTGTCCTCCTCCCACGCACCCTCAGTTGACCACCGCCGCGGTGAAGGGGTACCGAGCAGTTCTGACAGCTGGCGAGGGGCGCTCTGTCCGCGGTTTAGTTCTCAGACGCGGAGAAGCCCGCCGGGCTGGGCCGGGCCGGATCTTGGAAGGCCTTGGGCCTCGAGGCCGGGCCGGGTTTTGGAAGGGCCTGGGGCCTGGAGGCCAGGCCGGGCCTCATCAGAAGAGCGGTTTGCTGGAACAGGTCGACTCACGGCGGGGGTTTGAACCCCGCCACCGGGTCACGGAGGGTCTCTGCCGGTCGGCGAGCTGGTTCCGGCGGCCGCAAAGCACACGGAAAAGCCTGCGAAGCACAGTTGGGCGGTGCTGTGTGGCAGGGTGACAGTGGCTTCGTCAGCTTCGCTTGATGTTTCCACGTGTTAAGCATTAAAGAAGTGAGTGATACCCGTTCTGGTGGCTTTGCTGCTCCAGGTTTTCTCAAGCGTCCGTTAATCTAATCTAATTATTCTAATTTCCATTTCCGGCAAACAGTTTGCGAAGGCCAACGACAGTGATAAAACATAATTTTAAATGGATGTGAAAGGATTTGAGCATGACGTTATGCGTTATGGAATTAGCAATGCCTCGTCCATGGCACGCTGCCGGAAGTGTGTTATGGCTTTGTGGCTCTGCTGTATGTAACGGCGGTATGTCGCCATGCAACGCACCGCCGTTGTTTCGCCCGCCAGGAATGTTAGTGATGTTTGTTAGCCAGCCTCGTCTGGATAGTGGTCGCGGGCTCTCCTCGCGCTCCACCAGATCCTTCCGCACCTATTTCTCGTCCTAAGCAGCTGCATGCTTTCGGAACTTACCGTGCTTGTACGAAGGTAAGCCGCACTGACCTTTCAGTGAGCCTCTAGCTTTGCTAGCGGGGCAGATCAAATCCGCCAGCCTCAGATTTGAGACCCGCTTGCGGCCCCCAAACTCGGACCTCAGTAATGCCGCGCCGGTCCTCAGCACTTGCACGATACGGCGGGAGCGGATATCGGGGTCAGGGCCACGCTCGCGCTACGCCGGCCCGGCTCGGCCGCGGTCGAATGACCCCCCACCGATACGCTATGACTGTTGACCGATTGCTGATAAGCTCGCGAACTTTTGCCGGACAGGCGTGCGGTAGGTTTTATGTGATGCCTGCTTCACCATCTCGGCCCCACTCCTTTCACACGCCTACTCATCCATTCACTGCAGTTAGTCACAGTGCAGTGGAATGCAGCGGAGTGGAGTGCTTCTATGAGGTCGTGAACTCATAGGGGGAGGTGTCCCTTGCTATATATATATATATATATATATATATATATATATATATATATATATATATATATATGTGTGTGTGTGTGTTCTGTTCTGTTCTATATAATGTTCTGTATATATATATATATATATATATATATATATATATATATATATCGATATCATTCAGGTATATGATTTTCAAAGAATAAAATGTATAACTACTACATAAAATTTCAAGACATTAAAATTGATGCAAAAACAGTCACTAAAACCATTTTCAAGTGGTCCGGACAGCCTCAAGGCTCTGCGAACCGTCAGGTTGTGGCGGCTATCGTGAGGCTACAGACGGCCGGGAGTCTGTGGCGGCCGTCAGCTGATGACAGACAGTCGGGGGTCTGTGGCGGCCGTCAGCTGATGACAGACAGTCGGGGGTCTGTGGCGGCCGTCAGCTGATGACAGACAGCCTGGAGCCTGTGGCGGCCGTCAGCTGATGACAGACAGCCTGGAGCCTGTGGCGGCCGTCAGCTGATGACAGACAGTCGGGGGTCTGTGGCGGCCGTCAGCTGATGACAGACAGCCTGGAGCCTGTGGCGGCCGTCAGCTGATGACAGACAGCCTGGAGCCTGTGGCGGCCGTCAGCTGATGACAGACAGCCTGGAGTCTGTGGCGACCGTCAGCTGATGACAGACAGCCTGGAGTCTGTGGCGGCCGTCAGCTAGTGACAGACAGCCTGGAGTCTGTGGCGGCCGTCAGCTAGTGACAGACAGCCGGGAGTCTGTGGCGACCGTCAGCTGGTGACAGACAGTCGGGAGTCTGTGGCGACCGTCAGCTGATGACAGACAGCCTGGAGTCTGTGGCGGCCGTCAGCTAGTGACAGACAGCCTGGAGTCTGTGGCGGCCGTCAGCTGATGACAGACAGCCTGGAGTCTGTGGCGGCCGTCAGCTAGTGACAGACAGCCTGGAGTCTGTGGCGACCGTCAGCTGGTGACAGACAGCCTGGAGTCTGTGGCGGCCGTCAGCTGGTGACAGACAGCCTGGAGTCTGTGGCGGTCAGCTGGTGACAGACAGCCTGGAGTCTGTGGCGGCCGTCAGCTGGTGACAGACAGCCTGGAGTCTGTGGCGACCGTCAGCTGGTGACAGACAGCCGGGGGTCTGTGGCGGCCGTCAGCTGGTGACAGACAGCCTGGAGTCTGTGGCGACCGTCAGCTGATGACAGACAGCCTGGAGTCTGTGGCGGCCGTCAGCTGGTGACAGACAGCCTGGAGTCTGTGGCGACCGTCAGCTGGTGACAGACAGCCTGGAGTCTGTGACGGCCGTCAGCTGGTTGTCTGTGGCCTGGCCTGGAGTCTGTGGCGGCCGCCAGCTAGTGACAGACAGCCTGGAGTCTGTGGCGGCCGTCAGCTGATGACAGACAGCCTGGAGTCTGTGGCGACCGTCAGCTGGTGACAGACAGCCTGGAGTCTGTGGCGGCCGTCAGCTGGTGACAGCGGCCGGGTGTGTCGGCCGTCAGCTGGTGACAGACGGCCTGGAGTCTGTGGCGACCGTCAGCTGGTGACGGCGGCCGGGTGTGTCGGCCAGCGCTGCCGTCTAGAAGTCACGCCGAGCCGGTTCGGTTCCTGCCTCGTGCCGCCACGCCCACCATTGCGTCACCGCAGCACTGCACCGGTGTTCCACTCACTGACGTCACTCAGCGGCGTGCAGGGCGGCATTGGTGAAACGCCTGGCGCCGACACTGTGTAGCGCGTCCGCTGTGGCGTGGCGTGGGAAGGTGTGTCTGCCGAGTCACCCTTGTTTCGTCAAGTTTGCCCCTCTGCCGCCCTTCTCTCCTGCCCCCCTCCTCCCCCCCCCCGTCTTGCTCTTTTGTCTCAGGCCTCCCCTTCTCTCCCTTTTCTCTCAGGCCTCCCCTCTTTCCCTTTGCTCTCTGGCCGATCCTTCTCTCCCTCCCTCACTCCCTCACCACTCCTCCCACGTCTCTCAGCCTCACTCCCCGTCCGTTTACCCTCCCCATCCCTCATGTTTCACTCCGCTC